TAGTGTTAGGACTTGTTTATATTGCATTTGTTGATGACGTATGTGAATATCACCCTTATCTTACACTATGAAAACAAGTGGCCCTGGTCTTATGCTGACCTAATAGTGGTCAGAATTCTATCAGCTAGTCACTCTTAGTCAACCTTTTAGGCTGACATGTAGACAAACCCCACTTTTATGCCCACTGCAAAATAAACACTTTCTTAGGTTAATGTATTTTATTTGGCAGTCACAGCTTGGCTTCCTAAACAATAAAACATCAAGGGTTTGTAAGCCCTATGTATTTAGCTGTCAACTGTTACCTAATAACAGATTTCTGCAGCTTTAAAACAGCTTTGCATGTACTTAGATATTATGAATATCATTTTCAGCGAAAATTAGTAGTGCAAGTCCCATTAACTCGGAGGAGGGCAAAATGTGGCCCGCGGGCCAGACTGGGTATGTGGCAGACTCCATTTCCCAGCAGTGTCAGCCCATGCTGATGGCCAGTTTCTATGGAGGCCCCCGGAGTGGCAGAGCAGTGACAGCGCGGGACCTGGGTTCCTATAAAGATCAGCCCAGCAGTGCTGGCAGGATGGGGAGCTACTCCAGGGCCAGGATTTTGCAGCGGTGACAGCATGGTCCAGACCTGAGATCCACTGCCCACACACCCCAGGCAGGGGCTACTGGGAAATGGAGTCCAGCTGCTGGTCACATCCACCATTTTGCCACCCCCTGAATAAACTTCTGATGGGGCATGGTTGAAATTTTCAGTACCTCCAAATCCTTTGAGGCCTCTTAGAAAATCATGCTTGACAGTGGTAAGTTCTATCTAAATATATGTAGATTATTTTTAGAATGCCTTTTTATAGCATATCCCTCTTTTATACCACTGTGCACTCAATAAATCATGGATATTTTGTTTTTCTCTTTATTGATTAACCTATGGTGCCAGGTTTCAGATTCTCTCATCCCTTACAATGACTGTAACAGTGTAACTTCCACCAGACAGGCTCTTGCAGTCTAAAATTTCCTGGCTCTTACACCACAAGAGCCAGGAAATCCAAGCTCTTGTAGTGTAGAAAGATTTAACAGTTGCATCGGTATCAAAGGACACTGATGTCACCTATTCCAATGTAACTGTTACATCTGCATGATTCTGTAGTGATACAGGTGTAGTAAAATTATACCAACTTTAACCCTGTTTCACTGTGTCAAAGAGTAATTTGGCTCAATTGTATCATGCAGATGTAAGAGTTAAATCATAACAGCTGATGTCTGCTCCCGAGTGGCAGCTCCCTCTCCTCCTTTTAAAGCAAGTAAAAAGTATATTTTGTCCAAGTCCTAAATACTATACTGTGATTGACTTTCCTAGTGCAGTGGAGAACATCAAAAACTTTGGCAAAAGTGATACTGCATAGTATGGCAACATATTTCTTGAATACTTTAAGGCAGGGGGTAAGGGGTTGTTTCCTTGCCTTTTTTGTATGAGACCCATTTTGATTCTGCACAGAAAGTGTTAGAATAAATTAAATATTTAAAAGAATATTTAAAATAAATATTTAAAATATCTGTAAATATATATAGTTTTTAAGTTGCCCAATGGAACCAAGATCATGAGGCAAAAGAGTTAACACACAGCCGAGTGTGAGAAGCCTCAAAGATAAAGACTGCAGAATAATATTTAGTCCAAGAATTTTCACAAGGACAAACAAGTTCCTGAGTTACTAAATGGTTTGCCAATGTGCTCACAGGGTAGGATAAAAAAAAAAAAAAGAAACCACATTTTGAACAGTGATAAAGCTATTATTTATCTCCAAAATGTGGATCTAATGGTACAAAAAAAGTAGAGCATTTGACACAACAGGCAGTTGAGTGATTTAAGCTATTGGGACATCAGGCTAGTCTTTTTGACAACCAGAAAGATTGTAGTCGTCCAGATTCCAGTCCCAAAGGACTCTGTTTACTTAACAGTTTACCATTAGAAGTATGTACTATAGAAGTAAAGAGGGACTTTACCATGCTGTCTCTGTACAGAGCTTAACTAGAATCTCCAGCATCTTTTCTATTTGAAGCTGGTAAACCTTGAAATACAGTGGGACTAGAACCTAGAGGACCAGCTTTTGTCTCAAACTTTTTGAACAAAGATTAGATGTGTTTTGCCAGTTGTAGGAGATACATGGAGTGTCATTCTGGGTAATAAAAATGTAACCTATGAACCAGATTTAGGGCCAGATCCTCAGCTGGACTTGTGTAGCCAATCTCCATCAAGTTAATCTGTCTTTGAAGTCAGTAAAGCTAAAGTTGAGTTATGTAAGCTGAGAACCTGGCCTTCTGTGTGGCCCTAGGCAGAGTACACAGGAGGATCATAGAGAGGAGTCTTATCAATCAGCATGGCAGATTCTAGTTTTGGCCGCCTCTGGAATTCTAAATGCAACAAGAATTGATGTTGTAGAATATTGAGCCAGTACTTACGGAGTTATACAAAACACAGAATCATGTAAATTCCTTAGTTACATAATTGCCTTCTAAATAGATAAACTTCCCTCAATTTCTTAGACAATACTGCTACAATATGGAATGTATGGCACACAGTACTTATACCTTGAAATGTGCCTTCCCAATTAATAATAGCCTGTTAATCTATAAAAGAAGCTGTTGTGGGACAGTATATTGTATGTCTTAAAATATAGATATTATGACAATGCAAATGTCCATATTCATTCATTTTTGCTTATGCTAATTTACACTTAAGAACTGCTCTCTAGTGCTTTTAAATACAATCATTTTGTGCCTAAATGTGAATCATAAAATGAAATAATTTAAAAATGAATGTTATGTGCTTTTATTCCCACAATTACACTAAAGTTGTAATGACCTGTTAAATTATAAATGATATGTGTGGTGGACAAAAGCATGTACCAGCCAATGTATGCACATTAAGTAATCACTTAGAGAGCTGTAGAATGACTTGTAACTTAATAAAATCTTGCACTCATTTAGCAAATGTTCAAAGATCTATACAGACTGATGATTAACATCTGATATTGAAGATAATAAAAATAAGCAGTCACAAAATACCCTTGAAATGTAAATGACTACTTATTTACTATCACTAAAAATGGATTTAGGATAGTGTCTGCTGCATGATCTCTCTTTTATTAAGACTGGGCCAGAGGTCTAGATGTTTGAAGTCCTAGGGTGGGGTTGGTGGGGGGGGGGCAGGGGGGAGGCTTTAGCCCTGCACCTCCCAAACCAAAAGCCTTTCCTGATATCAGGAGAAAGGGATACACAAGGGTTTTAGAATCCTATGTTGAATCTTGGGATTGCTTGTAATATGTCACTGTGCAGATGTGTGAGGAATAAACACTTCAGATAAGTGTGAGTTAGCACATCAAGTTCAAACTTAGAGGGAGGCGAACAGAAGATGTTTAGAAGATTCTTGTGCTAAGAAATTTAAATAGATATACACAACATTTTCCAGCATCAAAACCAAGGAATTTTACCATGTGTGGTCCTGATGCTGTAGTCAGATCAGCATAAGGAAGACTCCTGCACCTGTTCTGTGGCAAATGGATTCAACAGCGTAGGCAATAGAGCTTTCCAAAGACACTTTGATTGTAGGATAAGAGGAATATGAGTTGTATTCAATGCTGGAAACCAAAGACCGTTTCCACTTCAACAGTAACTGTAGGCAAATATGCTCCAAGTAGAATTGCATCTCACTAGTTACTATGTAAACAGGCCTAATTTATTTATATTATAGGTTTTTTTCTTTTTGTGAATAAGGTGTTTTTTAATTGACATATATTTAAAATATAGTGAAGCTATCCTACTGACCCAAAGCTGGTAGGATGGTCTTACTTTAGAGCTGAGATTAAGCAGAATTAACCTGAAACAATGAATACTGAATCAAAACCAGGTGATGTCAGACATGAAGTCTGAATTCCCAACAGTTTAGCTACAAAACACATCTGTTTCTGTGCACTGGTAATTCCACCTTTTTTAAAAGTGTTTTTAAAGATGGGAACAATTTTACAAATTGAGGGGGGAAAAGTCCCCAACACATGTATTTGTAATTACCTGGTTTAGTCTGTGTTTAATCGTTTAAATTGAGAATGCCACATACATCTGATTTCAATCTGGAGGACAGTTACTGTTCTTGCATCTGCCAAAAAGGTCCAGTGCCAGAAAAAGGTTAGAGCTAACACCATGATGTTGTCCAAAGAAGCCACTTGATTCCAATTAAATGTTTAATTTCCTTAAAATATTGCTTTGGATTTAGGTCTTTGTTCTGTTCTGTAATCAGGATTTTTTTTTGTAGTTTAGGAATATTACTTTTAGATTGGCTGTGCTCCAGCACCTAGCTGGCATACTGTAGTAAAACAAACAGCATGTGTATTCGGTGGTGGCTTTCCTGTCCTGTAAAGATTTAGCAACTGGCTTTCTCACTAGTGAAGTAGTCTTTATGCTGACTCCAGTGGTGCTTTTTAAATGGTACATATCAAGTGTTTGCCTAGGTCTTTGAAGGATAAGAGTCTTAACTGTTTTTCCCCCCTGCCTCTTATTTTCTATGTAATTTTTCATCCTTTTTTTTATATTTTTAAATAAATCTGGTAGACAAATCCATGTGAAAATGTAGGTCAGTACTTACAGGTGATTAGCCTGGTGACAAGAGCCAATAATCTAAAATGATGTGCTAGCCTAACTGATCACAAAAATAATCTTGACGCATGTATGCCACAAACAGAATCCAGAGCAGTGTTCCTCTTGCTTTCTGTCCTACTTTCTCAACACAAAAATTCTGATGGTAACTAGTGCATCTGGTGGAGTTCCTATGACCCAGATTCAGTCCGTGGGTATCTTCAGTATTTGTTTTACCACCTAGACTAACCATCCTTAACTTAGTTGATCACTAATTAGCAGGTTTATTTCAGTTTCCGTGAGTTATACTTAATGTGTTTGATACAGAATTCAGGATGAAGCAATTAAAGTTCTTTTTCCCTTTCCTCTGTCTTCAG